AGGGAAGGAGAGAGGGGGAGGGGGATAGGGAAGGAGAGAGGGGGAGGGGGATAGGGAAGGAGAGAGGGGGAGGGGGATAGGGAAGGAGAGAGGGGGAGGGGGATAGGGAAGGAGAGAGGGGGAGGGGGATAGGGAAGGAGAGAGGGGGAGGGGGATAGGGAAGGAGAGAGGGGGAGGGGGATAGGGAAGGAGAGAGGGGGAGGGGGATAGGGAAGGAGAGAGGGGAGAGGGGATAGGGAAGGAGAGAGGGAGGAGGGGGATAGGGAGGAGAGAGGGGGAGAAGGGAGAGAGGTGGAGAGAGGGGGAGAAGGGAGAGGGAGGGGAAGAAAGAAAGAAAGAAAAAAGAGAGAGAGAGAGAGAGAGAGAGAGAGAGAGAGAGAGAGAGAGAGAGAGAGAGAGAGAGAGAGAGAGAGAGAGAGAGAGAGAGAGAGAGAGAGAGAGAGAGAGAGAGACAGAGAGAGAGACAGAGAGAGAGACAGAGAAAGAGACAGAGAAAGAGACAGAGAAAGAGACAGAGAAAGAGACAGAGAAAGAGACAGAGAAAAAGGGTCGACAATAAAGGTAATTATCGCTACCCGATAAAGCACACAATCTCGGACCGAGACGCCATCGCATTGACAATTAAAGCGAGACAAACAAGTGACCTCCCCTAAAACCACTTCCACTTCCTGCCCATTTTAAACAAACAACCACCGAAGAGACCGCTTACACGCAACTCATTACCACACTCACGCGCGGTATAGCCTTCTATTGTAGATACGTAGTAATTATATCGATGGTGGTGATGATGATTAATAATAAAAATAACTATGATGTTATTGGTAATAGGGAAACATAAGAATAATAAGAATAACAACTAAACGGAGTACAAGCCTTTGTTTAGAACTATTGAAGTTGAGAAGTTTTCATGAGAATGTGACGGTATATGAAATATCGTCAACATCTGCCAACACACTAATATTCAATTTCGAATTACAGAAGTCTATTGCATTCTGTGGTAATCCTACTGTTAAAAAAATGACCGAGGACATCAGATTTTAAAATTCCAAAACATACACAACACGAGAACAGGATAACAATGCGTACTAGTTATCCAACATGAAGGCAACACAGGACACGTACTATACAGAGGCAAAGAACAAACTAATCCAAATGCAGTGCGGCCATGAGCAGCCACACCCACACACCCAAATAACACTGCATCGTTGGCCATTCCCCACACTGTCTATACCGCCTGAGCATCCCGCAGTGACACTATGCTCACTCATGGATGCCTAATGCATCATGTAACTGTCATAACTAAATATATATTGGTTACGCTCTAATAAACGATATAAAATTGCATGATTCATCGCCGACAAGCAAGTGATTAATAACAGTACTACGGTCATTCAGGAGACAAATGACATACATGGGAATTAAAACAATAAAATTTAACGTGTCATCTCGCACTGCCCCTTGGAAGAACACATTCATAAATTACTTCGTTTTTCTTTGTAAATACATTTTCTGTTCTCCGACAAGAACTTACAAACTTTACCTAAAGAGCAAACTTTTCTTGGCATCTGATAACTTTTGGAAACAAGTCAGCAGAAGAGACAATCTGAACCTATTTACAAAAATAGGAGAGTACAATTTGAACGTGGCGTTATCTAGATCAATTATGTATTTTTATGTTGAAAAATATTAATTAAAAACCTTTGTTGTTATTCCGAAGTTGTTGATATATTCCGAACAAGATGTTTGCTATAAAACTCACTCCTAGGCTTAGGTTGTGTTAGATCGATAGGCATCACACACGTACCGAGGCCACAGCCAAGTGTCAGCGACGAAATAAGTGACCGACCAGTCCCCACTTAATGACCCTACCCAATTTATGATCCAACTTCGAGGTCGGCGCTGAGAATCGATGTAACCTACGATAACCTTCCCTCCCCCTTCCCCTCTTCCCGTCTTCTTCTTCTAACTTTCTTTTCGGCTATCCCCAATTCTCCACTTCTTTTCCCTTTTTTTTTGTTGTTCCCTTACTCCGTTCCCCTGCCCTTTCCAGTCCCCTCCCAGGAACTCAAGAGGGGCTAATCCCGCGTGACGTCAGAGGCCAGTGTCGACGTGTCCGGCGTCCCGATGTCCTTGGTCTGAGTCCCCCGGCCTGAGTGGATTTGGGAAACAAATGCGCCGCCAGAAAGTACAAGTGCTGAAGTAACCACAAGGAGAATAGTGAGACCCGAACAACAACAGGACGAAGACAAAGGGGGACCAGCATCCACGAACCATGTCCGAGAGATAAATCATAGCCCGTGATCGGAAACTCTCCTCGAGGCACAGTGTGCGTGAACTCGCGCGAAACCTATCATCTCCAAAGCAATTTCGCGAAAGAGAGTCAATGCTCCGTCACACGCAATTCCAAATTCACTGATCCGAAGATCCTCGAGGTAGAGCTTGGGGGGTCTCGCGGTGGGTTGGTCTGCTCTTCAAAAAACGAGATCTTCTCAAAATTCCGACGCACCTGGTAATATTCTCTCCGTGGCTGTGTTCAAACTAGATTCGGATTTACTTTCAGCCATTCCAACGGGGCCTGTGCGTGTGAGAGGAGAGGGGTGAGGCCGGGGGGAGAGGAGGAAGGGGGCGGGAAATGGTAAGGAGACTGTGACGGAGAAAGAGGGAGGGCAAGGCCAAGGAAAGGAAACGCACAGACTTGAGGAATATTAAGAGGAGGGAAGTCGCGAAAGGGCGGAGGACACAAGCGCAATCAGGTATATGAGAGGTAGACAAACATGAGAGAGGAAAGGTTGAATGAGTGATGTCGACTTGACAAGAGCAGTGGAGAGTCACACATGAAAATAATATTACTGAATGATGGTGAGAGGGGGAGTAGGGGGAAAGGGAAAGGAAATGGGAATGATGGCGAGAAAAAATAAAGTACTGAGAAGAGGGAGAGAGGAAGAGAGGGGAAAAAGGGAGAGGAGGAGTGGCACGAGCACCAAAGTGTAGCAGTAGCGCGAGTGGGTCTGGATGCAGGTCACAAGAGACAAATACGGTAGCCACGCTTGCAGGCTTCCCGAGAAGGGCGCCGCGCGCCGCACTCGGATAATCCGTGCCAAATATCGGACTATCTTCGCGCCCGTGACGTTCATATTCACATCTGTCTTGTCTGCGCCGGCACGCAGAGCCCGAAGCAAAAACGTAAACGCGCTGTCTCCCTCTTTCCCTCTTCCCCCCTCTCCCTCTCGCGCGCACGTACACACGCACGAACGCACGCGCACACACACGCACGCACACGCACACATAGTCAAACTCCAGCTCAAACTCACTCAAACATTCACTCACTTACCCACTCTCTCTCAGAAGTCAACTCTCGCTTTAGGAAGGGCTTGCGAGTTTACTGACGTCACAGCCGACGCACGCTAAAGATGAGACTTCCTACTCCAGAGTCCGTTATTCCGTAAGATCAGGATTTGGATAAGCATTAATGTTCGTTAATTAATCACACAATCCAAGAGTGACAGCGAGTTAATGAAGTCGCGCGAAGGATTAATTGTCGTATGCAAATGTGGGATTCACAAAGGAGGAATATTCCTTTCGGCTGAATGAATACGGGTTGTAATTATATAGTTTTCTCTGCCCATTTGTTTGTTTGTTTGTTTGTGTGTGTGTGTGTGTGTGTGTTCATGCATGCGTGTGTGCATGCGCAAGTGCATATGTGTGCACGTACTTTGTGTATACAATAGCGAGGAATATTCCTTTCGGCTGAATGAATACGGGTTGTAATTATATAGTTTTCTCTGCCCGTGTGTGTGTGTGTGTGTGTGTGTGTGTGTGTGTGTGTGTGTGTGTGTGTGTGTGTGTGTGTGTGTGTGTGTGTGTGTGTGTGTGTGTGTGTGTGTGTGTGTGTGTGTGTGTGTTCATGCGTGCGTGCGTGCGCAAGTGCATATGTGTGCACGTACTTTGTGTACACAATAGCGAGGAAACGGCAAACGAATACAGACAACGTAAACAACGCGCCATGGCATCCAAGGTCAGTCCTCCGGAGCAAGGAGGATAACAAAGCACAGGTGCGCAGAAGACAGGTGTTAAACAGCAGCATATCTGCACCGAAATCCACCCCAGCACTGCCACCTCAGCATAAAGGCCGCACGCCCTTCCATCGCCACGCCGCGCGGCCATAACATCTACGGATTCCCTGCACACGAGGCTCGCTGCCGTGTTCTGCAACACGTGACCAGCAAACCCTGCCACACTCGTATGACACTTATAAGCTAGCTACTCGAGTTGCGTTTCTGGCACCACATGACACCTGTGTGGTATCGCGGGATGCCGTGACTACAGTACATTCATGCTTTGTTGTCGTGTTTAACTCGGTCTTACTTAAATTTCAATATGTCAGAAAATCGTATTGTAGCACAAACTGGATTTACTGGAAGAATCTGTTTTGTGTACATTTTTGTCTTTCTATCAATAATTAGTGTTTTGCTTTTCACTTTTATGTATGGAATGAATAAGCATTCACGAGGTACTTCGTATTACTTGGGCAATGTAACACCAATGTTGAATTAGTTCGACGATATGATAAGCCTGTGGTACCCTGGCTGAAATATCTTCAGTCGTACGCCAGGAACATGATGGCGCTATAATCATATGCGTAATTATAAGTTTGATGGACAACAAACGCCACAGACAAGATGACTGTCATTTTTCAATTTGATAACTGCTTCACCTGAAGCATAAATCCCCAGTAACGATTTTTTGGCAGTCAGCATCAATTAATGCTCAAATTATAAACTCATAATTGCACATGCCAAAAGTCATTATTTCTAGACATTAATAATAATAATAAAAAAAGAACACTGATCAATACGATCATAACACAATAGTTTTACACAAGTTTTAGATTGGCTGATTCGACGTTTAAGTAACTTTGTAAATGTTATTTACGTAGTTGTACGAACACTGAAACTCGCGCAAAATCACACAAGACACGGAAAAAACGCGATTCTCTGTACCCAATACGGAGCTATAAGTTACACTATGATCAGAATGGGCGCCACGCGCACACTAACTTCCCGTCCCGTCCCGCCAACTTGACACACACACACAGCCACACGCGCGCACATATTCACACACACGCATACTCACACATCGCCGCTGGTTCCCGAAACACCGGTTATGTTCCGACTCTATCAATACTTTACCGTCTATTACAGGTCCTTCTGATCGATCGGAATGTTTTTTTAAAGGCTCTTTGAGTAGCTTCACATTTTAGCGTAACCTGCTTTCCGAAGCTGGTCTAACAATACATGCATTACAATCATAGCAGCATTACCCTTTGTAAGCCTATTCAAGGTCATCCACTTCTAGGAACACCGATAGGTATTGATGGCTGGCCCTTGCATGCCGGCAATACGTCAGCCCACCTTGACTCGGCGTGACTCAGGCAGACACAAGTGTGTATGCGGTATGATTCACCACAACGCACACCAGCTACTGCTTATCGGACCCGCTACTCGCAAGATCCATCCAGCAACCGATTTATTCGCCTCCTTGTTGATGTCTTCTTCCTCCTCCTCCCCTCGTATTTCCCTCTTCCACGCACCCACCTTTTTCTGCTCCCTTCCTCCAATTACCCCGATTATTATTATTCCTTCACCTCCTTCCCCCTCCACCTCCCAGCCTTCCACCTTTTTCTGCTTCTACTTCTTCCTCCCACTCTTCCACCTCCTTTTCCTCCCTCCACTCTTCCACCTCCTCCCACTCCTCCTCCTCCTCCACCTCCTCCTCCCTGCCAACCTCCACCCACCCCCAACTCCTTCCCCCAATCACCCCTCCTCCTTCCTTTACCCAACCCTTATCATCCCTCCATCTATCCCCCTCCTCCTCCTATGTCCACCAACCCCTCCTTCCCCATCTCTTTCTCCTCCTCCTCCTCCCTCCCCCTTCCACCACTATCTCCTCCTCACGTCGCTGTGTGACGGCCGGCCTGAACGAGGCTTCTTTAATCCATCACACATCCGGTGGTCGCTGCCACGTCCCCCTCCAGCCTGAGAATCCAGCTCCTATCCGCTGGCCACCTCGCTCTCCACCACCACGTCCTTGAGCCTTCCGCGATGGCGTGGACTCCCCCCCCCCCCTTCCTTCCTTCTGCTCGTAATCAATTTAGTTATTTCGTTATTATCCTTACATATCCCACACAATGACCTCTCTTCTTTGATCTCGCTTAATACATCAAGCGGTCTCTGTGTATTCTCTGCATTTCGCGAGAGAGAGAGAGAGAGAAGGGGGGAGGGAGAGAGAGAGAGAGAGAGAGAGAGAGAGAGAGAGAGAGAGAGAGAGAGAGAGAGAGAGAGAGAGAGAGAGAGAGAGAGAGAGAGAGAGAGAGAGAGAGAGAGAGAGAGAGAGAGAGAGAGAGAGAGAGAGAGAGAGAGAGAGAGAGAGAGAGAGAGAGAGAGAGAGAGAGAGAGAGAGAGAGAGAGAGAGAGAAGGGGGGAGGGAGAGAGAGAGAGAGAAGGGGGGAGGGGGAGAGGGAGAGAGAGAGAGAGAGAGAGAGAGAGAGAGAGAGAGAGAGAGAGAGAGAGAGAGAGAGAGAGAGAGAGAGAGAGAGAGAGAGAGAGAGAGAAGGGGGAGGGAGAGAAGGGGGAGGGAGGGAGGGAGGGAGGGAGAGAAGGGGGAGGGAGAGAGAGAGAGAGAGAGAAGGGGGAGGGAGAGAGAGAGAGAGAGAGAAGGGGGGAAGGGGAAGAGAGAGAGAGAGAAGGGGGGAGGGGGAGAGAGAGAGAGAGAGAGAGAGAGAGAGAGAGAGAGAGAGAGAGAGAGAGAGAGAAGGGGGAGAGAGAGAGAGAGAGAGAGAGAGAGAGAGAGAGAGAGAGAGAGAGAGAGAGAAGGGGGAGAGCGAGAGAGAGAAGGGGGAGAGCGAGAGAGAGAAAGGTGGAGAGAGAGAGAGAGAAAGGTGGAGAGAGAGAGAGAGAAAGGTGGAGAGAGAGAGAGAGAAAAGGTGGAGAGAGAGAGAGAGAAAAGGTGGAGGGAGAGAGAGATAAAAGGTGGGAGGGAGAGAGAGAGAGAGAGATAAAAGGTGGGAGGGAGAGAGAGAGAGAGAGATAAAAGGTGGGAGGGAGAGAGAGAGAGAGAGATAAAAGGTGGGAGGGAGAGAGAGAGAGAGAGAGAGAGAGATAAAAGGTGGGAGGGAGAGAGAGAGAGAGAGAGAGAGAGAGAGAGAGAGAGAGAGAGAGAGAGAGAGAGAGAGAGAGAGAGAGAGATAAAAGGTGGGAGGGAGAGAGAGAGAGAGAGAGAGAGAGAGAGAGAGAGAGAGAGAGAGAGAGAGAGAGAGATAAAAGGTGGGAGGGAGAGAGAGAGAGAGAGAGAGAGAGAGAGAGAGAGAGAGAGAGAGAGAGAGAGAGATAAAAGGTGGGAGGGAGAGAGAGAGAGAGAGAGAGAGAGAGAGAGATAAAAGGTGGGAGGGAGAGAGAGAGAGAGAGAGAGATAAAAGGTGGGAGGGAGAGAGAGAGAGAGAGAGAGATAAAAGGTGGGAGGGAGAGAGAGAGAGAGAGAGAGATAAAAGGTGGGAGGGAGAGAGAGAGAGAGAGAGAGATAAAAGGTGGGAGGGAGAGAGAGAGAGAGAGAGAGATAAAAGGTGGGAGGGAGAGAGAGAGAGAGAGAGAGAGAGAGAGAGAGAGAGAGAGAGAGAGAGAGAAGGTGGGAGGGAGAGAGAGAGAGAAGGTGGGAGGGAGAGAGAGAGAGAGAGAGAGAGAGAGAGAGAGAGAGAGAGAGAGAGAGAGAGAGAGAGAGAAAAGGTGGGAGGGAGAGAGAGAGAGAGAAAAAAGGAGGGAGGGAGAGAGAGAGAGAGAGAAAAGGGGGGAGGGAGAGAGAGAGAGAGAGAAAAGGTGGGAGGGAGAGAGAGAGAGAGAGAAAAGGTGGGAGGGAGAGAGAGAGAGAGAAAAGGTGGGAGGGAGAGAGAGAGAGAGAAAAGGTGGGAGGGAGAGAGAGAGAGAGAGAGAGAGAAAAGGTGGGAGAGAGAGAGAGAGAGAGAGAGAGAGAGAAAGGTGGGAGAGAGAGAGAGAGAGAGAGAGAGAGAGAGAGAGAGAGAGAGAGAAAAGGTGGGAGGGAGAGAGAGAGAGAGAAAAGGTGGGAGAGAGAGAGAGAGAGAGAGAGAGAGAAGGTAGGAGGGAGAGAGAGAGAGAGAAAAGGTGGGAGGGAGAGAGAGAGAGAGAGAAAAGGTGGGAGGGAGAGAGAGAGAGAGAAAAAGGGGGGAGGGAGAGAGAGAGAGAGAGAGAAAAGGTGGGAGGGAGAGAGAGAGAGAGAGAAAAGGTGGGAGGGAGAGAGAGAGAGAGAAAAGGTGGGAGGGAGAGAGAGAGAAAATAATAGGAGAGGAGGAGAAGCGAAAGAAGAGCGACAGATCGAGAAAAGAAAGAGTGAGAAAAGAGAACGGGCGAGCAAGAGCCTCGCCTCCGCCTCGCTCTCCGTCACAGGTTGATTAAAGGACCGACCAAATCTTTCGCGTCACTGCAGAGGATCCGGGGCCTGACGTGACGACCGCGTCGCTTGCCTCACACGCGACGACAAAGCCAAGTCCACACGAGACAGGGGTGGTATTGGGGAGGACGAGGGAGGCTCTCCGGGCAATTTACGGTATTTTTAATGTGCTGATTTCTACGTATCACTTGCGTGTTTGTTTGTCTTTTTAGATACATTTGAAAAATTTACATACCTCCAACTATTGAAAATGTATTCATGACACCGTAATTCTACTGTTAAAATCCCCGCATGTCCCTTTAGTTTAAGATGCTGTTGAAGAGCAAACACAAAACACAAGCAAGTGTTGTAAAAAATCAAACAAAAGATTACTTGTAGCGAAACCGCCTCCGCGCCGCCCGACGCCACGGCATTTTCGCGGCGCCGAGCAGTTGCATCGGGGAGGAAAACGCTGCATTTCACGCCACGCAGAGCCGGCCTCCGCCGGAAACACAGACGCGCTTCAAGCAGAAACATGCAATCACCCTCCCGAGTAGCGTTGCGCGTCCTTCACGCCCTCGTGTAACGGCACCGCACCTCATGTCGGGGTGCGAGTGGCAGTTATGCCAATCAGGACTGCCGTGGCGGAAGGGACACCTCGCAGCCAAGATTCGTCAATCAAAGTGGCAGTTATGGTGCTAGATACACGCCTTACACGCACGACCACGTACGTCACACACGTGAAAACGAAACTAAATATATGCATGTAAATATACATACGCCCGCAGGCTAGCGAGTCACAGCAGTAGTACAAAGGGAAAAACACATGCATACATATACATTTAAGCAAGATCATTTACTCACCCTCACCCTCTCTGTCATCCACCAACACTTACTCTCACACACACACACACACACACACACACACACACACACACACACTCACACTCACACTCACACACTCACACTCACACACTCACACTCACACACTCACACTCACACACTCACACTCACACACTCACACTCACACACTCACACTCACACACTCACACTCACACTCACACTCACACTCACACTCACACACACACACATATATACACACACACACATATATACACACACACACATATATACACACACACACATATATACACACACACACATATATACACACACACACATATATACACACACACACATATATACACACACACACATATATACACACACACACATATATACACACACACACATATATACACACACACACATATATACACACACACACATATATACACACACACACATATATACACACACACACATATATACACACACACACATATATACACACACACACATATATACACACACACACATATATACACACACACACATATATACACACACACACATATATACACACACACACATATATACACACACACACATATATACACACACACACATATATACACACACACACATATATACACACACACACATATATACACACACACACATATATACACACACACACATATATACACACACACACATATATACACACACACACATATATACACACACACACATATATACACACACA